CTTGGTTTGCTTCAAAAAGGATTAAATTCAGTTGGGATGGTCTGCCTAATCCCTAATGCATTGATTTCTAAGCATGTTGATATCACTACCATGACAAAACTCGTTAAATAATGCACCTAAAAGCGAGCTTTTTTGGGTGGCAAGTTTGTGAATGGTCAAAGCCTGATGTAAACCAAGCAGACCTTCTATCACCTCTTGAAACATACCACAAATTTTCCACAGTACATGGCGGCTTGCACCACTAGTTGTAATTGAAAATTGCAGCAATCACGTGTCAAACGGGAGCAACACGGAAACAGTAGTCTGGTACGCTTTGGACGTGTATCATACTTGCAGACCGGTTTGAGTGTGTGAGTTTAAATTAGAAGAACATTTGTGATGTATGGGTGCCTAAAGCGTGCATTTCTCGCTGTGCACTTGGATTATCTGATTGCAGGTAAAGAGAGCAATGGAGAAAGAGAGCGCAAAAGTTCGCTCTCACTCTATGGTCAGTTGTAAATCTCTCAATTACCGATGGTTGCGCCGGTGCGCCTGTCAAAACTTATGAGCTTGCCCTGGTTCATTCTGATAGTGTTGTTCTGATGATTAAAATGTTGATTAATTTAAGTTTGCTACCCAGGGGACTTCATGAATTTTCTCTAGATTTTGACACTGTTTTGTATCAAAAAATGTTTTAGGAAGTGTTTGACAGATATTCTTCATTACACTTCAGTCGAAAGAGTTAGCCTTGTGATAAAAAGGAGAATTAGTAAAGTTTTGAAATTCCTCCTACTTCGGTCAGCGCGAAAAGGGCCACACAAGTTTTGTTTACACAAGATGATAGACCCTTCAAATGTAACGTTAGGTAGTGATTAATAAAGTAATTGAGAATATGTACCTCGAATTCATGGAGCACTGAAAAATAAAACAAAAAATAATATGTGGTGGTAAACAGCGGTGCCGGTGGTGTAGTGGTAAGCGTGATTGCCTCTCACCCCAGCAGGCCTGGGTTCAATCCCAGTCGGCGCCGCCGGGATGTTCTGAGGCATAACATCTCTGATCACGTCTTCCTTCGGAAGGGAAGTAAAACCGTTGGTCCCCGGTTCATGAGTTTGATGGGTCGATATGTAGGGTCCAGGTGTGGGAGCTGCCTCCCTGGCGTCGGTAGTATTGGTGCTCAGCACGGAAAACAAGATAGACGGAAAACAAATCAAGGAAAAAACTGGCATTGTCAGCCAAGATATTTATGCAAAGGAATGTTTGCAAAAACGCCTGTTGCCTTTTTTGAAGAAACTCAACTATTCCGTGCTGTTTTGGCCAGACTTCGCATCCTGTCGCTACGGGAAAATGGCTCAGGAATGGTATGCCGCCATGAACGGCCAAGTCGTACCCAAATCAAACTTCAAAATATTGGGCAATCGTTAAGTAGAACCTCAAAAAACTCAGAAAAAAAAAACGTTGAAAATGAGAAACAGTTCAAAGCAAATTGATGTACAGCATCAAATAAGGTTGAAACAACAGCGGTACAAAATCTGACGGATGGTGTGAAACGTTAAGGCCGGCAGTTCGCATTTGCAAAGTCGGAAGCCTAATACAATAATATTCCTGTATTTTGTAGCCGTTGGTTCAAAAAGAAATAAAGTTTCATCATTTAAACAATAATATAATCAGTGTGCACTTAATTATATTTGACCAATTTTTGACCGTTCCACTCTTTAATACCAGCTTAATACAAATTCTGGTGGCTATTTCAAAAGATGTGGAGGGACATTTTAAGTAACTTCATTGAATACAGCTATGCTCTTAAACGTCAAAAAAGGTGAGAAACAGGTTTTGGCGTTCTTTTTCTTTTTCAAACGGCCCCACTTAGCACTGAGCCACACTCCGTGCTTTCACTGAAGATTCACTAGAGTGCGCACTCGGGTGTATCTTTAGTGAAAACATAGAATGTGAAAATTTTGAAGTTTGGTCGGGAGAATAATAGCATTAATATATCTATTTTAAGATACATTAACTGAACATTAAATTGGACTTAACGTTAGCTAAAGTCGATTCTGCTGCGTGCGCTGGGGATGCTTCCCGAGCAGGAGAAAATACCTTATGGATACCAGATTCAGGTATGAAAAATATGGTATTGACGAGGCTGACATAAGAGTTAAAATACCAAAAATAATACCTAAAAAATGTTCTATGAATAACGAACTAATAATTAATTTAGTGATTATAATAACTGACGGATAACAGACGCTTTTTTCATGCCAGAATACCATAACTTGCTATTGGTCTTTTTATACCAATACAATAACTCTTTGAGGTGTAATTGTTTAAAAACTGAAAGATCACATTTTGTTATTTTGATATTTATTTGATATTTTACACAATATTTCGATAACTGAATAATATCAAAACAAGGTTTTATACCACAAGCAAACCAAAATAAGGTATCATACCACATTAAGATATTAATATGTTATCGGTTAGTTAACCCTCCCCTTGGCTAGTTTTTGCACCTTGCTGTTGGTGGGCGGGCTTAATTTCATGCTAGTGGAGTGTTGGAGACGGTGGGTTTGTGGCCGACGTTGCTGGCTCATGCCGCGATAGAATGGCGCCATGGGCAGGCAATGAGGATTACTGAGCTTCCCCTCTCTGATAAACCACTGCATGAGAGAACAAAAGATCTAGTCCAGCAGTGATAGTATCACACTTGTTACTCCTTTTATTGAGAGCCGCGTCGTGGTACGCTTACGTATAGGCACTGGCGTTGGGTGTGATACTGGCGGGTTTTGCCGCAAATCACTCTTATTTTATTTATTTTTACGCAGATAGATTTATTTGGGTTTGCAAGGGAATTATACTATTGAAATATTTCAGAAAGTGCCCAACGGTGCTCCTTCTATTTGCGTGACAAGCTTTCATTGTTGTTTTCATTGAAGTATTACTCAGGGAACAATGTTAAACATCATTTTTGTACATGGTATTGTAACCAATCTTATATGTGCTTCATTTTGATTTGGGATAAATGTTTGAACTATGGCTCGGGATTTCCACTGTTGCGTGCTTCTATTGTGATATATCCATACGTAATTTTGTGGGACGACATAGTGGAAACGTGTGAGCGTAGTTGGAGCATATACCCTATATAATTTAAAATCAGCTAGGAAACTAACTTCAAAATGAAGCATTTTAGTCACTTGAGGGTGTCACCTGGGTCGAACTAAGATATAATAAATAGGTATAGGTCAAAATCAAAAGTACTTGAAACACGTTTAATTTTAGATTACAAGCACAAGTGCAGGTACTTAATAAAGCATGGGTTATGATTGATTAGGTGACTTAGAGCTTTTAATAATTTATTAATTTAGACTAATGAGATATCATAACCATCAAATGAATTTAAATAATAAACTTCAGAAAGTTTAATGACATTAAGTAGATTAACAAAAGAATTAGGATGCGGGTGGTCCGCTTAGGGAGGCAACTAACCTTTATAGTTGTAGAATAAATCTTCTTATTTAGTATTGAATTTAAAAAAAAAAGAAAACGCAGGCAGACCAATAGCATTTAGCAGATTAACAAGGAAAGGAATAGTTTAGGAAAAAAGTAAAAGTAGAGTTATGTGACAGTTATTAGCTTTTAAACTTTTGGAGGTATTGTATTCCCCTGAGTTTGTTGTACTCGATTACTATATAATTCTCTCAATACGCGAAATCTCTTATATATGCGATTAAAGCATTTGAGTTAACTTATTTCTTAGTGTTCAAGTACTTACATTTGTAAACAGCAATCAATGCTAATCTATGAACTAAACCATACGTAAAATCGATCTTTCCTTATGTGGTATTGATGCATGTTTAACTTTTCGCGGCTTTCGGAATCAACGCGCCTACGTCTACGGAGCTTACGCAGAAGTGATTTGCAATGCGGTAGAGCTCACCAAAAGTTTTTTTTTTTTTGAGCTTCTGTAGTATAGAATTTGTTCGGTACGGTCGCGAAATCTTGAAATGATTGATACGTGTGGTAAAATAACTAAATTGAAACAAAGCTCAACAGTAAAATAAGTAGAATATTTAGGGAGGAAACCAAAATTTATCAACTTGCCAACATAGGCTATCACATTTATTTTGGTGGCACTCTTTAAGTGATAATAAGTTGTTTTTTTTCTCTACGGTTGTTTCGCGTGGCGTTCACAATTTGCGCGATTTTCGTATCTTACGTAATTTAGATGTTTAACTATAAACGGTTTCACTGACTCGAGGTCGTTCCTTAAGCGGTGTTGGTACAGGTTAAACCTTTGCCGACTGTCGGATTCAACGCGCCTACGTCTACGGAGCTTACGCAGAAGTGATACGCAATTCGGTAGAGCTTGTCAAACGCTTTTGAGCTTATAGAATTTGTTCGGTGCGGTCGCGAAATCTTGAAATGATTGATACGTTCTTTAAATTAACTAATTTGATACAAAGCTCAGTAGTAAATAAGTAGAATATCTAAGGAGGAAACCAAAATTAATCAACTTGCCATCATAGGCTATCACATTTATTTTGGTGGCACTCTTTAAATGATAATAAGCCTTTTTTTTCTCGCTTCGGTTGTCTCGCACGGCTTTCGGAATTCGCGCGGTTTTCGTAACTTACATAATTTAGATATTTCGTTCGAAACGGATTTACTTATTCAATCGGTTTACTACGCGGATGTATCTACGCGCACACGTCACAGCATTTTTTCTATAACTATCTTGAAACAATACATACGGAATCCAGTGTTCAAGCGGCCAACATAGGCTAGTCCTTCTGCTGTATTGTCAAAGATAGAAGCAAAATTTATTCAAATGGGTCAAGTCTTGAAAATTAAGCTGTCACGCAGCTCCAGCTTGATACCAATAAAAAAAAAAAAAAAAAAAAAAAAATATATATATATATATATGTTATCGGTTAGTTATCGGTTCCTGCTCGGGTTGTTATTGTTATGTTATAGAAAGCAACGAATTCTTATCTAATTTTCTTATCTTTCTTTCTTTCCTGTAGTGAAAAACTCTGCGCCCACCTGCCAGCACGTGCCGAGGGCTACTCGTGGTCCCTGGTGTTCAGCACTTCGCTGCATGGTTTCTCACTGAACTCGTTGTACAGGAAGATGCACAAACTTGAAAGTCCCATCCTAATAGTCATAGAAGACACGGACCACAATGTAAGTTTAAATAGGATCGCATTTAATTAGAGGATTTCAGTTGAACTCGCATTTTTTTTTTAGGTTTTTGGTGCCCTCACATCCTGCTCGCTGCACGTGTCGGACCATTTCTACGGTACCGGCGAGTCGCTGCTGTACAAATTTAACCCGCACTTCAAGGTGTTCCACTGGAGCGGGGAGAACCTTTACTTCATCAAGGGTAATCCGGAGAGTCTGGCGATCGGTGCCGGAGAGTGAGTATTTTTTTTAGTTTTTTTTTGCTTTTTTTTAGATATTGATCAATTGACGTTTCGTGTCTCTTTGGGTATTTTTTTTGGGAAAATTTTAACAGTGAATTTTACGAAACAACAGTTTGCTTGACAGAATTTGACGGTATTGGCCTTAAATTCTCACAGCCGTTAGGTAACCGCCTCCTGTCAAATTGATTCATGAGTTGAATCAGAAACGTCACGTGAAATGCTCTATTCCTTACTCAGAGAGTGAGTCACTTTTACTCAGTTATGAGTAACGTTTACTCATTCGTATGGATACATTTCTGAAAGCGTAGGTCACTCGTAGCACGAGTAACCTACGCTTTTGGAAATTTCACCTAACGAATGAGTAAAAGTGACTGAATAACCCTCTGAGTAAGATTCGTTTTCAGTGTGCCTTTTTCTGTGAAACGTAAACAATCTTTAAACACTAGACTGATGCAAAATTTAAAATTTTCCCTCCACGCTGCTCAACCGGTTCCAAATTGGGTCCTGATTAGTCTCCCAAAATTTGAACTCGGTGCAACCCCGGCGTTAACCACTACATCCATTCCTCTCACGCCAAAGTCACGAGTTCAAATCTCACTCCCGGAAGAGTCACAAATGACCCAAGAGTGTTCAAGTGACTATATAAAAAACTATTAAGAAACTGACTTGGCACAAACCATATGAAGTTTATATGGAAATTACTATGGGAAAACCAAATTGTTTGTTCATATCGATCTCAAAATTTACCATTTAATTCTACTTTTGAAAATGAAAGCTGTAGGAAATTTGCTCAGCAACAGTTGTTGTTGTTAAAGAACACTTTTTGGTCAAATGTAAGGAACAAAAGTAATTAATGATTCAAGTTACTGATGTCTTATGATAATGCTCAATCAACTGTTCAGCAGGCAACATTGGGCCTGGAATGCAATCTAGCGGAGCTAAATTAAGAACTCCGAAACGAAGCATTTCCGTGACTTGGTGTTTTGGGCAAAGTTTCTCATCATAATAAGAAACATCTATTGACATAAACTAATAGTTCAAAACTCTTTCGCAAAGATGGCGCCACAATCTAACTTCTTTCTCTGACGTTTTGAAGACTTGATGTATTCGGCAAAGTTGTTTACAACATAAACAACTCTTTTGAATATGTACAATTTCCACAGCCTACTGGTTCCGAGTTATATGGAATTAAAGAAAAAAAATGTCGAAAATATAGTATTTGTTTCTGTTTCGTTTTTTTTTTACGTACAATCATATAATATTATATTTTTTCTCTTATGAAAATGCATTAAATTAATAACTTTTGAAAAGAAAAATACTGGTTAAAGCTTCAAATTTTAAAGATTTTGTTAAAAAAAACAGCAATTTTTTTAACTTTATTATCTCTTAAAGCGCAAAATACCGCAACCTGACATTTTCAGCAAAAAATAAGCAATACTCGATAAACAAAATAACAAAATTTGAGAGAGGTATATTTTGGTATTTTTTGGATTTCTTCATTTAAGTGGACCATGTTTTTTTTTCAATAACTTTTTTCTAATGCATTCAATTTGCGTTTTGAAGACTTGACGACTTTGGCAAAGTTGTTTATCTTGAAGAAGTCAAAACTCTTAAGTCTACTGTTTTCGAGTTAAATGCATTAAAACAATATAGGTGAAATGGCTCTAATGTTGGCCTATGGATCTAAGATTGGGCCCATCGCTAAAAATCTGCTATTTATCAATTTTATTTAGATGACTGCGTCATTGGGACGGTACTTATGGATATTTTTGGTCGCTATTTAAAATTGAGTCGATTGCTGAATTTCTGAAACGAAACGCAACTTTCATCGCGCTTGCAACGCCTATCGTAAGCTTAATTCAACCCTATACAAGTCATATTTCTTGCGTGTCCAGACCAATTTACGTAGAAATCCCAAGAGCTTCTGGAAGTTTGTGAACTCCAAGCGAAAATCGTCGAATATTCCTTCATCCGTATTTTTTGGCGATTTGGAGTCTACTTCTACTTTACCGCTTCGTTGCACCAAGGAGTTTTCCCCGAAATATGGAGACATTCCTTTATGTTCCCTGTCCATAAGAAGGGCGACAAACGTGACGTGACAAACGTGACAAGTCTATCTGCAGCTTCAAAATTATTCGAGATCATTGTGAACGATGCTATCTTCTTTCATGTCAAGAGCTACATTTCAGCAACGCAACACGGATTTATGCCAGGACGCTCAGTTACATCAAATTTGCTGGAGTTCACCTCAACATGTATAAATCACTTGGAAAATAGGGCTCAAGTTGATACCGTTTATATCGATCTGAAAGCGGCATTCGATTGCATCGATCATGGTATTCTTCTTCGGAAAATGTCTCGCCTGGGAATTTCGGATGGTTTGGTTGATTGGCTGAAATCATATCTTTCCAACAGAACACTTCGTGTCAAGCTGGGTTCGTGCACTTCATCACCATTTGTTGCAACCTCCGGTGTTCCCCAGGGCAGCAATTTAGGACCATTGCTGTTCACAATCTTCTTCAACGATGTGACGCTCCTCTTGCCGAGTGGTTGTGCGCTCATATACGCCGATGATCTCAAACTATACATTGTTGTCAAGAACGTCGAGGATTGCCGTCAGCTCCAAGCAATGTTAGACCAATTTGTTGATTGGTGCCGCTTAAACAAGCTTTCCGTCAGTATATCAAAATGTGTGGTCATGACATTTAATCGCACAAGAACGCCAATCGTATTCGATTACTCAATTGATGGATTTGTACTAGAAAGAGTAGAACAAGTAAGCGACCTAGGTGTAATGCTGGACCCTAAACTTACGTTTGACTTACACCGTTCAATGGTAATCACTAAGGCTAATCGTCAGCTTGGTTTAATATCAAGAATCTCAAGAGATTTTTCGGATCCGTACTGTTTAAAAGCACTGTACTGTTCACTCGTTCGTCCGATTATCGAGACTGCATCTGTTGTTTGGACTCCCTACCAACTTTCCTGGAACATCAGAATAGAACGTATCCAAAAAACATTCATTCGTCGAGCATTAAGACAACTTCCTTGGAGAGATCCACTAAACTTACCTCCGTATGCTGAGAGATGTCGCTTGCTAAGCATGGACACGTTACAACGACGGCGACAAATTCAACAGGCAACATTCGTCGCGAAGCTATTAAGTGGTGAAATTGACTCTACCCACTTACTCTCTTGCTTGAACTTTCGTGCGCCAAGCAGATTTCTACACTCAACGTTCCTATTGCGTCAAGACTCACACCGCTCTTCTTTTGGACAACATGAACCTGTTACGAGTATGATTCGCACGTTTTCTACAGTTGAAGAGTTGTTCGAGTTTGGGGAACCTGCTGCTCAATTCCAGAGACGTATTATTAACTCCAGATACATTTAGTATTTGTTATGGCTTCTGGTTCATTAAGACTTATTGTCAGATGGATGTATTAAATAAAAATAAAATAAAAATAAAAATAAAAATAAATTTCGGAGGTATTAGTTTTGCTCCGCTAGATTGCATTCCTGGCCCAGTGTGCATTGGTCTTTCTGGCGCGTAGAATAGATCACACAAATCATGGCTACTATGTTACACTGCTGAATACAGTGTTGCCCGTAAAACAGCTGCTTGATCATGCCATAAGATTATCAATCTATTAAACAATTATTAACTATTTAAACAGACGTTTGGCTGCAAAACGGTCGTGTGCAAAGTTGAAGCTGAGAAAATTTGCCTTAAGAATTGTTGTAGACCTTTTCAACACAACAACACGGAAAAAGGCTAGAAGACAAAGATCAAAACGTTTGGTTTTTTCATAGTCATTTCCATATTAACTTATAAATGGTTTGTGCCAAGTTAGTTTTTTTTACCAAACGAACTTAAATTTTGAGAGATTGGACACTATGGAAAGAAAATTTCAAATTTTGCATCAGTCTACAGGTCACCATAAAATGCTACGTCGTGTATGCATCTTCCCTAAAAACTTTCTCGAAATGATCAACAGCAGCTCCACGCGAAACAGTTAAATGACCATATGTGAGTCTTTCCGATTTTAATAAAACTTTGTCTAAGTTTTCAGCAGCGGGAATATGAATCGTCTAGAGATATTAGTTTTGTTCCCGTACTTGCTTTTTTGCTTTTGCTGTACCCGCTATTTCAAAACGACCCACATTTGGGTAGAATCCACCCAGATCGGTCAAAACTGAACCTACCCAAAAATGAGTAAACTTTGTTGGGAGGTAGTTTTGAAATAGCGTGTAAGTTGTTGTAACAAAATAATACAGGAATTCCCGATTAGTGCGATGGGTGGTGCCGTCTACCCACTGCCATTTCTCAGAAATCTTTCAACCAATTGAGCTGACATTTTGTATGTGATTAGAACCAACCACAAACTTGACACTCACAAAAAGTCAGCTCAATTGGTAGAAAGATTGTTGAGAAATGGGGAAGGTAGAAACCACCCACCGCTCAAATCGGGGATTCCTGAATTATTTTCTTACAGCAACTCAAAGCAAAAGCTAAAAAGCAAATACGGAAACAAACCTATTGAGACTAGAAAGGGTCTAGTATAAGAGAGAAGCGGACTGGCTGGTTTTGAGCCAAACGAACTATCAAAGCTTGGCTCGAGCAGCGCCTATCTTGATTGCATTGGCAGTGTTGCTAGAAAGCACCTAGGCATAGCTTGCCAAGTCAGTATGTTTTTAATTCGCTCCTCTTTTATACTAGACCCTTTCTAATTATTATTATTATTATTATTTAGCTTTATTTAGGAGGCTTTCTAATTAAGATCATTTCTACTGAAGCGTTATGTTTGAAAAGGGCGTATAAATTTTCAAGATCACTTAGTTTGAATAACCGTTTTTAAGAAACTATTGATTTTACCGAAATGAACGAGATGTAGATAACACTGAAAAAAATAATTGACATTTTTATTTAATTCATTAGAACAACTGCAATCCAAATTACTTTGAAAAAAAAAAAAACGATTGGAAATATATTT